ATTGGGTGCTGTGGTTTGCAATAGAGGCAATGGGTGACAATCATGTTTGGTCTATAGTCTACTTCCAGCATGCTTCTCCCATCTGGGGAACATAAAGTAACAAAATGGGAGACTAACACCCAAGAATGGCCGAAATTAGTACCAGGAATTTTACTCCATGACTTGGAGGCCAATCATACATGCTAGGGAAAAGGGAGCTTAGATAGAGAAGGGAACACCAGATAAAAGCTAAAAGCTGTGATTCTTAAGGCTGCTCCTGTATAGGTGGTTTCTTTCTTTGATCTTGCTGCTTTCAGAATTTTATCTCTGTCTATGTTTTTTGTCATTCCGATAAGATGTGTCTTGGAGTATTTTTATTTGGATTTCTTTTACCTGGTACCTTCTAGCTTCCTGAATATGTTCGCATGTGGTTTTCAGCTCTGGGAACAAATGAGCAATAATGTATTTGACAGTTTCTTCTTCATCAGGGGTTTCCTCCTATCCCTCTGGGACTCCGATTCTTATGTTACTCCTCTTGGTTTCATCCCGATTTTCTCTTGACATCTGCTGGTTTATTTTGAGGCTTCTTTTCATTTTCTGGTGTTGTCTGGAGATTCTCTGCACCCCATCTTGGAGCTCACTGATTCTGTCCTCAGCAGATGTTACTGTGTTGCTGAGGCCTTCCACCTACTTTTTCATTTCACCTACCAAGTTTTTTAGATGTGTCATTTCTGCTTGTATTTTTGTGCATTTTCTTACTTCCACTTTTATATCCTCTTGTATTTTATCAGCAGTGCATTCCGTTGTTTCTTTGAGCTCCTTGCACATTCTTAAAAATTTCATTTTAAATTACTTATTTGAGTGGTTATAGAGTTCATTATTACTGTTTGATTCATCTCGGCTAGCAACTTGAATCATTGGGCTTGGTAAGTTTCTGCATTGTTTTACCATAGTGACCTTTGTGTTTTGGAGTATTTTTCTTGTGTGTATGTTTTTGCTATCTTTGTGTATTGCTGTGGCTTATTGATAGGTATATGTGAGGCCTGGGTTAACTAGTACCTCAAATGTGGGGTGCAGACAAAGTAACTCCCTCTTGCAGACGCACTAGCATTCGCTTAGTTTTGTGGTTAGAGGTTTAAAAGGTATGCAGATGGGTAGATGGGGGGAGGGGCAATGCTAGGAACCTCCCCTCCGTTAGAGGACTGGGGTGCAGGCGAGAGAGATGGGTGACTGCCCAGGACCTTATATAACTTTTATTATATAAGATAGGTATTGAGAAAGTATTTTGAAATGTAAAGAAGAAATATGATAAAAATTTATTTTATGGATAATTGTTGCCTATTATAACTGGTATTGGAAAATTTTTAATATAGTTTGATTAGAAGCATTACTAATATCTCTAAACTCATATAAGAGGACAGATTATTGATAATTATATATTTACAGTTCACTTTTTTCTTTTCCCATGTTATAGTATTTTTATGTAGTTTTACTGTCAGCTCTCAAATGTGTGTTGCCTCAGAGCATGTGTTTTTGCTTTCATTTCTGTGACGAATTATTTACTTAGGTAATACAAATTAATGATATTGAAAGAAAATATCACCAGGTTAAAAATATCTCTTTTAGAAAATACTGATTTTGTGTCCAAAAGTCATATGTGATTAAAAAATTAGATATGTATATGCATATATTATATATGTCATTAAAATCTTCATAGGAATGTAATTAAAAGAAAGACCCAGAAGAAAGAAACCTATTTCTTTTGTGTCTTCTAGGCGGATTGATCCTTTCTTCATTTTATAATTGTCCTCTTTATTCCTCTTAAGTGCCTTTGATCTGGAATCTTCTGTTTCTAATACTAACTTTGGTACTGGAGCTTTGATTGTATTTGATGGTATGTTGTTTCTGTCCTTTGACTGTAATCATCCCGTGGTTTTCCAAAGTTGGTTTCTCTTAGATTGCTTGTAATTGTTTCTTTTTTACCCAGTCTGATACTGTCTTTTGATTGGTATGTTTACACTTATTTACATTTATGAATGTGGTTGAATTTAAATCTACTCTCTTACAGTTTTTTTTGTGTTTTCCTTATTTTCTCCTTGTTTCTTTTCTTTTCTTTTTAAAAATTTTGTGTCTGTATTATTTACTGCTCTTTGCCAGACTTTTTAGACCTGCTGGACTCTTTACAGAGAATAAACAGTACAGTCATCACCTCTTCCTGGAAGAGTGTTCTTTGCATGTTCACAGTGGCTCACACTTGGGTATGGTGTAATGAACACAGAGTGCGACTGGGGTCAGTGACAGAGCAAACACCCCAGAGAGAGCATCCCCAGGGCCCTGGCCAGCTGCTCTCCACCCTGTCTCAGACAGCGTCTACCCCGGTAGCGCCACCAGCCCCTTTGGAAAACCCTGCCCCATTTCAGTCTTCACTGTTGCTCTAATAGATTCCCTGCCCCCCTTTTTTTGCTTTATGGGTTTCTTTTTTGTTTTTTGTTGTTGTTGTTGTTGTTGTTGTTTCTTAGGCCAACCTGGCGGGGCTCAGGGCAAACAACTCCTGGCTCTTCACGCAAGAGTCTCTCCTGGAGGGCTCGGGGGACCAGGTGGGGTCCGGGGATGGGAGGCATGCGCCCTACTCACTGTGCTATCCCGCCCCCGTTATCCGTCTTACAATTATAATGATTACTTCAACATGTAACATTTATCAGTTGATATTAGTGTAATGTATATAATTGGTTGATATTGGTGTAATGTATGTAATATATATAATATATAATGTATGCAATATATATAGGTGTAATAGTATATAATTTCATGTGTTACAACACTAATCCCTTTTTCCTATCTTGTGCTATAAATTTATCTCTTCATATTTAATTCCTCTGCCCCTCTCGGAGAGCCTGGCAAGCTACCGAGAGTATCTCGCCTGCACGGCAGATCCTGGCAAGCTCCCCATGATGTATTCGATATGCCAAACACAGTAACAACAAAGTCTCCAATGGAGATGTTACTGGGCCCGCTCGAGCAAATCGATGAACAACGGGAGGACAGTGACATGACATATTTAATTAATGTAAAAATACATCATTGCAATTTTTCTTTGGTCCAGAGGTCAGAAAAATTTTTGTATAAAAGAAGATAGTAAATATTTTAAAATCTTGTGGACTGTATGGTCGATGTCATGTTCCTCATAGCTGCTCACTCTGGCTCCTGTAGTGTGAGAGCAGCGTGGACAGTAAGCCGATAAGTGTGCTCACCCGAGACTCTGTACACAGTTGAACTTCCATGATTTCCATGTGTCATGAACTGTTCTTCATACTTATTTTCATCATTAATAAGTTATGAACATGATTAGCTCATGAACCATTTGAAAACATGTTGCAGGCTAGATTTGTCTATGGAGTTAAAGTTTTTCTGACCACTTTTGTAGAAGGATAATTCATTTTATTGAATTAACGAATTAAAATTAAGAATAAAATTGTCTTCGAAGGTTGCCTTCATTTTTTTATTTTTAAAGCTCTTAATTTCTTCTTAAGAAACGTAAAGTTTTTTTAAAAACCATCATTGGTGGATTTCAATATATCCCATTTTCACTTCTGTGAGACTATATCTCATTTTCATTTTGGTTTTTCTTTCCCTAATAATAAGTGATGATAAATGCTTTTCATATGCCAACTGACTGTCCATAATACTACAAGAACAGATAAAAAATCTTTTATCTCTTTGCTGCTACTGGAATAGAATTTGATGGTAACATATTAAGTGAAATAAGTAAAAAAAAAAAAGACAAATACCAGATGATCATACTCATCTGTAGTGTCTAGAGAAACAAAATAAGGAAATAGGCAGTTATTCTATTATTGTCAATAGACAATATCAAACAATGACAAAGTTTGGCCTTAGGAATGAAATTTATGAAGTTTAGATTACCAAATGGGAGAACGAAAAGCTGGACTTGAAGTGACACAGGGCACTTTGATGGTGGTGAGGTGCTATAACTGGAGATCAAAATAATAATTATTGACACTATTGTAAATGTTACCTCAATTTAATAATAAAAACAAACACACTGTCCTCCCATTGCTCATCGATTTGCTCTAGGAGGCCCAGTAATGTCTCCATTTTTGAGACTTGTTGTTACTGTGTTTGGCATATCGAATACATCACAGGGAGCTTGCCGGGCTTTGCCGTATGGGCAAGATACTCTCAGTAGTTTGCCGGGCTTTCCGAGAGGGGCGGAGGAATTGAACCCGGCTCGGCTGGGCTGGCTGCATGCTCTACCACTGTGCTATTGCTCCAGCCCAACTATAATAATAATAATAATAGTATAGTTTGTATATCATATAATATTCCTTCCCCTGTAGGATTTCCTTTTTTGTTTCTGATAATTCAGGTTTGCAGGTGCTCACCAATTTTAACTTTTATTTATCTGAGAGTGTTAGTTCATATTTGTTTGCAGGTGCTCACCAATTTTAACTTTTATTTATCTGAGAGTGTTAGTTCATATTTGGTAGTCTTTGTTGTTTTGTTTTGTTTTATTCTGTTTTTTTTTGGGGGGGGGGGCACACCAGGCATTGTGCAGGGCTGACCCTTGTTTCTGTGCTCAGAATCACTCCTGCAGGGCTTAAGGGGGCTGGGGTTTCGACCCAGGGCAGAACATGTGAGATAAGCGTCCTCCCCACTCTACTGTTGCTCAAGTCTCTCATATTTAGTGTTGATAAAATATTTTCTGTGAGTATAGAATCTTGGCATGAGTGGTAAGAGAGAAAATATATTTTTCTGGTATTTACATCTAGGAAGAAGAATTTATGGAATCATTACAGTAAATGTAATTTTCTAATTTCTTAATTGGTGCAAAGTAATACCTTTATAGTAGTTTATTGTTCATAATATTTTCAGTTATGTACTTTGCTTTAGATAAAAACACTGAGTTATCTCCAAGGTGACTTATTTGCTCACTGATATTACATGCATTTTTTTCTAGACATGATGTGACTGGAGTCTTTGTATTTTTTTCCTCAATGCAGGGTACCAGCTGTTTCCTGCGCTGGGTCAGAAACTTGGACGATGAGCTACATGCTATTATAGCTGGTAAAGCACTGACACTAAAATGAATCGATGTTCATCATTTGGTGATAGTAATAAATCTGAATTAGTTTCCAGATCCACCTCATTTCTTTGTATCTTCCGTTTTCTATGGTAGAATTCCTAGAATGGCATTTAGTCCAGTTTGCATTTGCACCGTTAAACTTACCGAGACGCTCTTGCCTTCTGGGGCTTTTGCGTTGACGACATAATGACCTGCATAGCTGCCCTGCCCAGGAGGAGTCATAGGGAATATTGCATGAGACACAGAACCTCGAGGCCTGTCGCAGTGGCAAGACCCAGAGACACGCCGGGGCTCTATCCATAGCGCCCTGGGGTCCAGTTCCGAGCAGGGTGGCTTCATGCTGGGGCCCGCAGCTAGGCCTGAGCACCAGGTGCCCGGTTGAGCATTAAACTATTGGCCCAGTTTGTTGAATATCTCTTGGGAGCCACCCCTGCAACCCCTGGGCACTGCTTTGGAGCCCTACCCCCCATTTAAAAAAAAGAAAAGAAAAAAGAGCAAAGTCTTAAAGTAATTGCTGGTTAATAGAATCAAAATTAATTTCTTAAAATTTACCTCTGGCAATTGATGAATATTTTAATCATAGAGCAGGGGAGTTTGTGGTTTATTTTTAGGAGCACGAACAATTGGATAAATGAAACTAAAGAACATTTTCTACAAGTGCAATATGGGTGCTTAAGTTGAATATGCTTTTTACATTTCCATTAGTAACATTCTTACTACTAGCACCCCAGGTTCCCTCCCGCTGTTTATAGAATGAAGGTAGTACTATGGAGAAAAGTGTATTAAAAGCAATTGGAGCACTTAGTAGAAGAGATGAATAAATATTTCTCCATAAAAACCATATGTTATAAATTTTTAAATTATCTTTGGAAACTATTCATGTGGTAACACTATTGAACTTTGCTACTAATTTTGAAGTTGAAGGTTTTAATTTAAAATGTGCTAAAGAGAATTCATCCCATTTTATGTCATGGAGTTAGTTACTATCCTTGATTCTGTTGTAACAAAAACAATGGTACAATACATTTTTTCTAATTTAATAACTTAAGTGACTTAATAACAAATACTTTTAGATCTGATTGCTTTCTCTTATTTATTGTTTCAGGATTTCTGGCAGGTGTATCAATGATGTTTTATAAAAGCACAACAATTTCTATGTATTTAGCTTCCAAATTGGTGGAGGTAAGCAAACATTTTAATGCATGTACTGTTCAAAAGAAAATGATAATTTCGAATGCTTTATAAGTCTCCTTTCCAATGGAGACGTTACTGGGCCCGCTCGAGCAAATCGACGATCAACGGGAGGGCCTTTACTTTTACTTTTCCCTCCCAGTTACAAAAGCAAATTTTATTTTTTTTATTTTTTTAATGAATCACTGTGAGGTATAGTTACAAACTTAAAAACTTTGGGGCTGGAGCGATAGCACAGCAGGTAGGGCGTTTCCTTGCACACGGCTGACCCAGGTTCGATTCCCAGCATCCCATATGATCCGCTGAGCACTGCCAGGAGTAATTCCTGAGTGAAGAGCCAGGAATAATTCCTGTGCATTGCCGGGTGTGACCCAAAAAGCAAAAAAACAAAAACAAAAACAAAAAACTTTTGTGCTTACGTTTCATTCATACAGTGATCTAGTACCCATCCCTCCACCAGTGCCCATTCTTCACCACCAATATTCCCAGTATCCTTCCCACCACCCCCACTGCCCCGCCTCTGTGGCAGGCCCATTCTCTTTCGTTCTCTCTCTCCTTTTGGGTGTTGTGGTTTGCAATACAGGCAATAAGTGGCCATCATGTTCAGTCTATAGTCTACTTTCAGCACGCATCTCCCATCCCGAGTGGGTCCTCTAACCATACTTTATTTGGTGTTCCCTTCTCTATCTGAGCTGCCTTTTCCCCCAGCATGTGAGGCCGGCATCCAAGCCGTGGAGCAATCCTCCTGGTCTTATCTCTACTATCCTTGGGTGTTAGTCTCCCATTCTGTTACTTTATATTCCACAAATAAGTGCAGTCCTTCTATGTCTGTCCCTCTCTTTCTGACTCATTTCTCTTAGCATGATACTCTCCATGTTGATCCACTTATATACAAATTTCATGACTTCATCTTTTCTAACAGCTTCATAGTATTCCACTGTGTAGATGTACCAAAGTTTCTTTAACCAGTCATTGGTTCTTGGGCACTTGGTTCTTTTTCAGATTCAGTGGGAGGACACTACTACAGTGCTGGCTATTGTAAACAGTGCTGCAATGAACATACAAGTACAGATGTCATTTCTGCTATATTTTACAAAAGCAAATTTTAAATTTAGAAAAATGTTTTCAAGATTCAGTCTCCTATTTTTCTTTTTTGTTTGTTAGTTTAAAATACAAGGGTAGAAACTAGACTATAATTAACCTTCATGCAACCATTATACAGTTTCAATAGTTTATCAGTATTTGGTCAATTTCATCTGTACTGTCCCAAGTACTGAATTATTTTAAAGCAGATCCCAGAAATAAAATTACTTTATCCACTAGCACGTCAGGGTAATGATATCATAAAGAATCCAGAGAAGAAGTGGGTGAGACCTCTCACAGGGCAGGAGACCTGGGCTTGAATTTGATTTATCTGTGAGGAATGCACAGTGACACTCACACAGAGCCAAGAGTAGCCTCCAAGCTATGTGGGGTATGTGTGTGTGTGTGTGTGTGTGTGTGTGTGTGTGTGTGTGTGTGTGTGAGAGAGAGAGAAAGAGAGAGAGAGAGAGAGAGAGAGAGAGCAAGAGAGCGTGCTTAAAAACTAACAGTTCACAATACCATTATCAAGCATTTAGAACTTGGTTTTCACTAATTGTCTCACAGAAATTTTATTTGATCTCTCTGTTTGAATTGGAATCCAGAGACTTTTTAGTTTAAAGAGTTTTCTCTTTTTCTCCTTGCCAGAGATCTTAGCCATTAGCTCTTACAGAATTTTCCACACTAGGGGTTTTGCTGATTGAATCCTCACTGAGGGGTGTCACCATGTTTCCTTAACTCAGTGTGTTTCCTATTTATTTATTTATTTATTTATTTTTGCTTTTTGGGTCACACCCGGCAATGCACAGGGGTTACTCCTGGCTCTGCACTCAGGAATTACCCCTGGTGATGCTCAGGGGACTATATGGGATGCTGGGAATCAGTCACGTGCAAGGCAATTTTCCTACCTGCTGTACAATTGCTCCAGCCCCAGATTTATCATTTAAATCAAGAGGCTTTCACAAATGTAAATTCAGGGTTTTTGCCAGGAGGGGAAGACACATTATGTGTGAATTCTCCTTGAATTACAATAATCGTATTAGAAGGCACGAAGGTGCCTGGGTGTCTCTTCTTTTTGGTGATGAGGGTTTGAATGAGGTATTTGTAAAACCAACTAAGACTGTATCTGATAGCTTTGCAGCCATTCTGATTGTTAACATGATTTGTTATTTTATGAAGGTTGCAAAATGCTCATAGACTGTAAGTTTCGTCTCTTCTGTGTTTATGAGTAGAAATTCTATAAAAGAAACTCTCTTTGTAACCCTTTTGTTACTCTGAAATAGTTTACTAAATATTTAGTAAATTGCTTGACTACTTTCTTTTATTTACCATTGTTCAGAATGATCACTTGATCACTTGACATCCTGTTACTCATCGATTTGCTCAAGCAGGCGCCAGCAACGTCTCTATTTGTCCCTGTCACGTGCTAGTGTAGCCCAATGGCGTCTGCTCGTTCTAGGAACATGAACAGCCTCAAACCAATCGTTCAGGGTCTTGACGAAAAAGTCTGACCATCTCATAGGTGGGCAGCCACGCCATCTTTTGACGTCCCGTGGAATCCAGTCAGTAATGGCTCTAGTCCAGTTGTTGTCTCCAAATCTCATTATGATCAGAATTTATCCTACAAAATTGAGCGATGAGTCTATATTTTTAAATATTATGAAGACCTGAATTTTAACATTTCCAACATCGATTTGTTTCAGTGTTTTCTTCAGATTGCATTTATTTTGTTCAAATTGCCCCATGTTTGGCTGAGTGCCTCTTCAAGTTGACTTGTTTCTTTTTGACATGAGAGTAGCACTGTTGCACTGCACTGTCCTCCTATTATTCATGGATTTGCTCAAGCAGGCCCAGTAATGTCTCCATAGTGAGACTTGTTACTGTGTTTTGCATATCAAACATGTCACAGGCAGCTTGCCAGGCTTTGCTGTGCAGGCGAGATACACTCGGTAGCTTGCCGGGCTCTCTGAGAGGGGCGGAGGAATCGAACTCGCGTTAGCCCGTCCAGCTGCATGCAAGGAAAATGCCCTATAGCTGTGCTATTGCTCCAGCCATGAGAGTAGTATATTTAATAGTTTTCATGCCTTGTGATAAAACCAGATAATACAGATTTCTCTGTGACATTTCCTGCTTGAGAAATAGAATCAGCCTTTCTGTTGTTGGCTTTTAATTTCTTTTGGAGAAGTAATATTTAGAGATTGATTTTGGGTAAGTTGGGGTTTGATTCTGTTTTTTATTTTTGGGGTTTTGGGTTTTTTGGGGTTTTTTTTTGTCTCCTAGACTAGTCATTATTTCTTAGTGTTTGGAGTGAGGAGAGCTAAAGAATGCCCCATTTCTCTTAGACAAAAAGAAAATAAATAGAACATGTTGATAAGATTTTAACTATTTTTGTGTGATTTTTTGTTGAATCACCATGAGACAGTTATAAAGCTTTCATGTTTGAGTTTCAGTCATATAGTGATCGAAAACCCATCCCTCCACCAGTGCACATTTTCCACCAACAATGTCTCCAGTATCCCATTCCCCATCCCAACCCTCCCCCTGACTATGGCAAACATAAATTTACCATAAAAAAAACAAAATTTCTCCCATCCTCTCCACTTTTGGGCATTATGGTTTGCAGTATAAATACTGAGAGTCCATCATGTTTCGTCCTTTACCCATTTTCAGACAATTATCCTATCCAGAACAATCACTCCAGCCATCATTGACTTAGTGATCCCTTTTCTTTTTTTTTTTTTAATGTAGGAGTACTACTATTTATTCAGCCACTGATTAGCTGATTGAATTGGACATGAACTCCACCTTACTTTTTTTTTTTCTATAATTTTATTTATTGAATCACTGTGAGAGCAGTTACAAAGTTTTCGGGTTTAAGTCTCGGTCATACAATGAAACACCCGTCCCTTCACCAGTGCCCATTCTCCACCACCAAAAACCCCAGTATACCCCCATCCCAAGCCCTCCCCCTACCTGTGGGGAGATGATTTCTATATTACTCTCTCTCTACGTTGATTACATTCAATATTTTGACACCAGACCCACCATTATTATTTGAGTTTTTACCCCATCATTCAGATCTGCTGAAAAGGCAACAGTAGACAATTTGTTTTCTAATACTGGTTATGAATAACATACGATGTCGCGTGGATGCAGTAGTGGCCGCACAATTTTGAAATTCCAAAATTTTAACAGATCTGAAGGGATTTCTGCCAAAACCTGCTGGGTTCCAAGATTTGTTCCTGAGTTTCTTGGATCATGGCCATTAAGCAGCTTGATCAGGAGCCAGAAAGGCCATTCATGGGCAGCAACTCAGGGTCTCATTGGGACAAGGAGGAAAGGGCCAGTTCCACCCCCTTCCCGTGAGGCCCCACGTATCTCATCACTGAAGGACCAAGCCTGACTGTCCAGTGGGCTCTGGAGGATTGGACAGGGATTGGATAGGGGGAGTAGATGGAGTTACAGTACCCTTTCCCCCCTGGAATGGCCTGGCGACAGTAACCTACTGCGGGGTCCGAACGCATTTCCTCCAAAAGCCACTGGGTTCCAATATTTGTTTCTGAGTCTCTGGGATCATGATCATTAAGCAGATTGATCAGGAGCCAGAGAGGCTGTTCATGGGTGGCAACTCGGGGTCTTTTTGGGACAGAGAGGAAAGGGCTGGCTCCAGCCACATCCCATTAGGCCCCACGTGTCTTGTCCCTGCGGGCCCAAACCTGACTGTCCAATGACCTCTGGAGAATGCCGGCCACCGAGCCACCAAGGGGGAACAGGTGGAGAGACAGCACCCTTATCCCCTGGGTGGCCCGGCGACAGTAAACTACTGCATGGTCAGGATGCATTTCTGCCAAAAGCCACTGGGTTTCCAGATTTGTTTCTGAGTCTCTGGGATCATGGCCGTTAAGCAGCTTGATCAGGAGCCAGAGAGGCTGTTCATAGGCGGTGACTTGGGGTCTCGTTGGGATGGGGAGGAAAGTGCCGGCTCCACCTTTATCCCATGAGGTCCCACGTGTCTCGTCACTGTGGGCCCAAACCTGATTATCCAGCAGCCTCTGAAGGATGGCGGCCCGAGCTGCCATGCGGAACAGGCCAAGGCATGAAACCTATTCCCACTTGGGGTGGCCCGGCACCTATCACTTACTGCAGGGACTGGACGCATTTCTGCCAAAAGCCATTGGGTTTCGAGATTTATTTCTGAGTCTCTGGGATCATGGCCATTAAGCAGTTCGATCAGGAACCAGAGAGGCCATGCCTCCAATTATATAGCTGAGCTGGAGGTGGTTCGTGGGTGTGTTTCCCACATACCTAACTTTTGGTCGTTTTCTTTCTTGGTAAGCTTTGCCCCAAGTTTTTGGGGTCTGGCCAAAGACACAGCAGCAATTTTGGGGGTATCTGGAATTCTGAAGGCGCCATCAGGCTGTTGCACTCTCCTCACAGGTACAGATTGACCTGCTGGCAGCACCATACCCCAGTGATCCCTTTTCTATCCCAACTGCCTTCTCCCACAGCTCATGAGACAGGCTACTAACCATGGAGCAATATTTTTGGCCCTTGTCTCTTTTGTCCTTGGGTGTCAGTCTCATTTTGTTATTTCGTATTCCATAAATGAGTGCAGTCCTTCTGTGTCTGTCCCTCTCTTTATGACTCATTTCACTTAGCATGATACTGTCCATTACCATCCCTATAAGCAAACTTCATGACTTCGTCTTTCCTAATAGCTGCATAGTATCCCATTGTGTAGATGTACCAAAGTTTCTATCTGTTCTCAGTTACTTGGGTTGTTTCCAGATTCTGGCTTTTGTTGAACATATAGGTGCAGATGTCATTTCTACTATGCTTTTTTGCACCCTCAGTGTATATTCTCAGAAGCGGTATTGCTGGGTCATATGGAAGCTCAATTTCTTGTTTTTGAAGGTGTGTCTATATTGTTTTCCAAAAAAGCTGGACCAGTCGGCATTCCCACCAGAAAGAGAGTGCCTTTCTCCCCATATACATGCCGGCAGTGGTTGTTCTTGTTCTTTTTGATGTGTACCAATCTGTGGTGTGAGATGGTTTCTCACTATTGTTGTGATTTGCTTCTCCCTGATGATTGGCGATGTGGAGCATTTTTTCATGTGCCTTTAACACCCAAAAGTCCATGGCTTTCCTATATACAAATAATGAAAGAGAAGAAAAAGATAGTATATGCTTTTTAAGTTTTATCTCACTGAAAATTTGTCATTACTTATATTAAGAGAATTACATATTTGCTTTATCCAAATATGTGGCCATCAGGGTGTGTCTTTGTATTTGTGTGGGAAGGAGGAGAAAGAGGAAGGAGTAGAAGAGGAAGAGGTGAGGGAGGGAGCAGGTGCAGGAGAGGTGCATTTAGAAGCTATTGAGAGTGGAAATAATATGATTTAATTTACATTTTAAGAACATTCTGGCTGTTGCATATCCATTATTTAGAGGACGAATTAGAGGCAGGGTCTAATGCAAACTGGGAGAATGGTCTTTTGCAGAAGATGGTGACTTATATCAAGATAGTATCCATTGAAGCGGAGGAAGGATTTGAAAGCAAAATTGAGAAGATTTCCAGGAAAGGAAAAGTGAAAAAAAATCATTTTTTGGCAGCAAATACATGTTCTTCATCTTCAGAAGAATTTAATATTGAGATACAGTTTGTAAAGATATCTTTTATAACTGCTTCCCTAAGTAGGATTTTTTTTAAGCAAAGCATATGCTGAAAACATTTTTTAACACAGGAAATTATGAATTTTAATTTGCCAGTATTTTTTGTTGCATTTATGACTGTAGTCATTTTACTAATTTTATGTTAAAATCCTATATTATTATACAGTATTAAAATTCCTTTAATTTAACAATAACAGAAAATTAAAGCCAACTACATAGGTAGAAATTTATTATATTCCAATTACTATTCTTGGTGCTGCTAAGTATATAGAAGTAGAGGATCAGGCTCCTGCTCTTCTGGAACTCAGAGTTTAGTTAAATAAATAAGTTTAGTTTAAGAAATTTAAAGAAAGCCTTGATTCTGTTGAGACTGAAGTGGTCATCAAAGCCCTAGCCAAACAGGGCATTCACACTCAGTACATCAGGGTCCTCCGTGAGCTCTATTATGGATTCACCACCAGGATCTCATCATTCTACAAGGAAAGGATCATTGGCATAAAGAGAGAGGTTCAGCAGGGTGATACCATTTCACCAAAACTCTTCAGTGCCACCCTCGAGGATACCATGCGACAATTGGAATGGGAAGAAATGGGAGTGAAGATAGACTGTTGGCAACTACACCACTCCACTTCGCTGATGACATCGTTCTGTTCTAATAACACCAAACATACGCCAAGCAGCACAAATGCTGGCTGACTTCGACCATGAGTGTGGAAAGGTCGGGCTGCAACTGAATCTCACCAAGGCTATATTCATGAAAAACAAACTAGTTCCTGCATTCCATTTGCTCTCAACGGAACGAACATCCGAATTAAGCAGCTATGTGTACCTGGGTCAATAACTCAACATGACAAACGACTTGGCACCAGAACTGCACTGGAAGAACAGAGCAGCGTGGAACGCCATCAAGAGCATCCAAGAAGTTGTAAAGAGGATGAGGAACCTCTGGCTCTGGCACATCTTTTCGACTCCACCGTTCTTCCTGCGCTAACATACACCTCAGAGACCTTGGCCCCACGAAAACAGGACGGGAACACTATTAGGGTCTCCCAAAGAGGAATCGAAAGAACTATGCTTGGAATATTACATTTCATTCAAGTGAGAGAAGAAATCTGGAGTTCCAACGTCCATCGACGATCGAGGATCAGGGACGCTGTTTCATTTGCCAAGGCGTCAGAAATCAGATGGGCCGGACACGTAATGCGATTTAGAGAAAACTGCTGGACTAGAGCTGTTACCGACTGGATTCCATGGAACGTCAAAAGGACGCATGGCAGCCCAACTACAAGATGGTCAGACTTCTTCGTCAAAATCCTGAACAAACAGTTTGAGGCTCTTCCTGTTCCTGGAGCAAGCAGATGCCATTGGGCTACACTGGCACTCTACAGGAGGAAGGGAGATGTTACTGGTGCCTGCTCAAGCAAATCAAAGACCAATGGGATGACAAGTGATACAAGTGATATAGTTTAAGAAATAATTAGAATGATTAGAACAAAATAACCCCATATGTCCAGAGTTACCTGTTTTGTGAACCATTTTATAAAACAGTAGGGCGTCTGCCTTGCACGCAGCCAACATGGCCGACCCGAGTTCGATTCCTCCGCCCCTCTCGGAGAGCCCGGCAAGCTACCGAGAGTATTCGATATGCCAGACACAGTAACAACAAAGTCTCCAATGGAGACGTTACTGGGCCCGCTCAAGCAAATCTAGCACATCTGAATTTCATATTCTTCAAGATGAATATACTGTAGTGTACTATATTAATGTCATATAATAGTACTGTTTTCAAATTAATAGCGCATGTTTTATTTTGTTTTTGAAATAGATTGTGTGTAGACCCTGTTTCTTTATAATTTCAGATGCATTAACTTATATATAGTTCACATTCTATACTTTTTGATCAATTCATATGTAAATTATTCCCCTCACATCTTTGTCATTTTGCTCTGAAATTAGAGAAACACTATTAGAACACTGAGAATTTTTGTGACAAATTACTTGAGATGTTACTAAAAATAGAACCTTTCGTCAAATATGTATACATTTGTATACACATACATTTTTGCATATATATGTACATCTACATATGTATCGTATAACTTTACTGTTTATTATTTCTGTTTTGCACTTACCTTGTTTCATTCATTTCAAAACCCTTATTCTAGCATTATACCCCAAATACAGTTAACACATGAAATGTTCCCTGAATGAATGGATAAATATATATAAACAGGAAAGAGAGGAATGGATATTATGCAAAATATTTGAAAAATGGCATAGAATAGGTGAAAAAAAGTTTTGCCTCTGGGGCAAGGACATGAGAAAGGAGGAAAGGGGATTGATACTTATTTCAGTCCTGAAAGATGCAACTCTGATTTGAGCAGTTAAAAGATCATTAGAAGTAGAAAGGTAGGAAAAACTGGTTATAGATAAGACTCATATTACTCAACTATATTGTTAATGCCATTTAAAGTTTTTTTCCTCATCATTTGGCATTGTGCTTGCTTTGCAGACACTGTATTTCAAAGGTATTGAAACAGGGAGGGTTCCTTACTTTCCTCATGCAGATACTATCATCTATTCCATCTCTACAGCGATTTGCTTCCAGGCAGTAAGTATAGCTTTTTGAAATAAGAAACAGAATTATTTGTCTCTGGTGTATATTAAACCAGTGAAGAAAAAAATATAAAGATTGATAACATTTGTATGTATTGGATTTTGTGCTTACCTTGTAGCAAGATAATTTGCAAGTTTCAAATGATTAAACATTAGCTTAATGGTCTAGCGACTGCTTGATGAATACACCGGTTTTTATAGGTAAATTATTACTGCTTTACTTCAGCTTGAATGTCCCAATAATGATCTTTTTTGGGGGGAAAATGCCATGGCATAAATAAGAACAGCTGCTTCCCCTGTACTGCTCAGGCAGTGAGAATGGGTGCCAAATCCATTTTAACAGAAATGTTACTCAATCCCTTTAAAATTCCCTGGATATCATTACTGATAGTGATAGGGATTTCAGGGCTATCGCAAAGTTTTTGGGAATGTTTTTATTTACTTTTTCCCACTGTGATTCTGCCAGGTTAATAAACATTTTAATTAATGAATGCAAGCTGATTATTCAGTAACTGTTTCCTAGTAATAGTCACCATTAATGCAATTATTTCATGAGTAGTGCTCCTAATCAAAAGCACATTTACAAAGTGTCTTGGTAGTTGTCAGCGTAAGTTAAATAATTGTCATGTTCAAGAAAAAATGAAAAAATAGATAAAATTTTAATTTTTAATTAAAATTTAAAAAATAATCGTCATGTTCATAAAATACAGTGGATGGTGAAAATAAAGACAAAGTCATACTGTTGCCTGTAGCTACTGATACCATTTGCTCTTTAATGGAATTTTCATCAAATGGAATTCTCTTCTCGCAGGCTGTCATGGAAGTTCAGACCTTAAGGCCCTCTTACTGGAAGTTTCTGTTACGGCTCACCAAGGGAAAGTAAGTGATAGAAACGTTTTTACTGATCGTAAAATAATAGCACTTTCTAGAGAAAGAACATTTTGAAATTCTCTGGGAATATTGTTTCATTGATAATGTAGTTATCTACGCCACATGTCACATGTCCCGTGCCCCACCAAGGGGCGGGGATTCGGCGCTGGGCTCTTCCCTGTTCCCCATTCAGAGACTATAAAACCCAGCTCCTGGAAGAGCGCAGCTGCGCGACATCTTATTATCTCATTCCTACTTTGGACAAACTAGCAGGTCACCGAATGTAACCTGCCCACACGGCAGAGTCTGTCAAACTCCCCGTGGCATAGCCGATATGCCAAACACCAGTAACAATGATGGGTCTCATTCTCCTAACCCTGAAAGAGCCTTGAATGTGGCACTTTTTAAAAAATCTCAGGGCTAGGACAAAGGAGACGTTACTGGGGCCTGCTCAAGGCATTCGACGAACAACAGGATGGTCGTGATCGTGATCGCAGTTATCTAGTTATATATCAATATGACCAACATGGAAGTTGCACACTTCAAAAAATATTTTTTATTAAAAATTTTAGAGATCATGGCTAAATACTTGACTTCTGTTTTAGAAAAATAGTCGTATCCCGTTACTGATACTGAAAACATACATTACTTTCTTTTGTTGTCACGCTCCTTGTTCTGTGGCAGTGCAGCTTGACTTAATAGGCAGGATGTAGCTTTGGAATCAAATGGACAGCACTGCCTCCATTTCTGGTATGGCTTGCTGTATCGGTGTAGGAAAGTCATTTACCTTCATGAGCTTCAGTTGGGCTTACTCCTGGCTGTGTGCTCATGGGTCATTCCTGGCAGTGCTGAGGGCACTGTGTGCAGTGCTGCGGAGTGGACCCTGGCCCGCTGAGTGCAGAGCAAGGGGCTTAAGCAACCTCAGTACAGAAGTGAAGAGTACATGTGCTGTTCCTAGTCAGACTTTGTACCTGAGGGCTGAGTTGCACACCGCTGTTAAAGATGAAAGCTGGGACATGGGCCATGCGTCTGTCTTCAGGACTCCTCTCGGCGTTAACTACCTGCATATGCCTAGGTGCTAAAGAGGATATCATGTATCTTCTTCATTATTATTACTTAGTAACTGAGTTTTCTGCACATGAATGATTTTAACCAATTGATTATTTGTTGAGACAGTTTACTTTGGCAGGGAACCAAAATTACATTTATTGATTCTTGGAATTAGAATACTGGTCAGTGACTCAAAATTAATTTCACTTTTCTCAGAGATGAACTATCTTTGTGATCAAGCTCAGAACTGAGGTCTTTTCTGCACATTAGCTAAACATGTATCTTTTTAAAATGTTCTGTCTTAGGGGTGGATAGCACAGTGGGTAAGGCATTTGCTTTGTACGCCCCCGACCCAGTTCAATCCCCAGCATCCTGTATGGTCCCTGAGCACCGCCAAGAGTGATTCCTGAGTGCAGAGTCAGGAGTAACCCCTGAGCATTGCTGGGTGTGGCCCAAAAACGCCATACATAAATATTCTGTCTTAGGTAGCAGAGGGAATGAATTTAGGAGTTTGAAAGCCTGTATGCTTTAAATCCTCTTTAATCATTAAATATTTACTTATTTGGATATGTTTTCTATTGATCACATGACTATTTTGAAGGAACATTAATGAGAGAAAATGTATTTAATACCATTGTCTTATTAGTAAATATGAATTATTTAGTTTTCTGTGACTTCATCAGAAAAACCATCATGAACCTATTCTGTTTGGCACAGTCTATTGGAATAACTCAGAGAGTATGAGATAATGCTGCTAATAAACTCCATTAAATAATTGCTCGTGGTGACTTCTGTTTTACAGATTTGCTGTTATGAACCGAAAAGTCCTTGATGTTTTTGGTACTAGTGCATCTAAACATTTTCCGGATTTCATCCCCAGATTGGATCCAAGATACACAACTGTAACACCAGAATTACCCATAGAGCTTTCTTGAAGATAACTGTAGTTTATTAGTGTGTCTTAATGTTTCATTACTTTATTCTGAAGAGTTAATTATGTTCAACACAAAGAAGGGGGCCTGAGCTTGAACTTCAGTGTTAATTTCAGTGAGCAATGCATTATTTTTTGTTTTCTTACCAATCAGAAATACAGAAGCTTTATAGGAAAGTGTTGCTTAATAATTAAGCTCCCTCTGCAGCCAGAATCTGATTCTGGATCATCGTAGTGATTGATATGATATATTATTGATTAAATTATGTCCACAGACAATATTAAATAATCTATATAGGATTGTAGCAACAAATAAGAATATACTTTAAATTACTTTAAAAGATGTGTTTAGTTCATTCCAATGTAATTCTCGTTTAAAATTAAGAATATTTCTACATTCTAGGATACAAAGGATCACGGGTACATGTATTTGGTCTGTATTTTTTTTAACCTTTGAATTGATAACTAGAGTAGAGAAACGTTCTGAATATATGGATAAGAAGTGACTTCATGGACACTGCTGCTTTGGTGTAGAGCAATCTAACTGGGGGAAGTGCCCATTCTGACTTCAGGGATGCAGAAACGGGTCTCATACTCTTTGAATCAGTGCCAGGTATCTATGCCCTTCTTCCATTGGTAAATTCATTTTTTCTCCATGATCAGTTGAGCTTTTTGGCAGCCCAGTTGACTAAAGGAGGATTAGGAACAAGTGTCACTTAACTACATTAGAATTGATAAAGTTGAAATATATGTTTTAGTCCTTCATAGTAGCATTACAGTTGAATGTTTAAAGCAACTGAAGTTACCTTTAAGCCTCCCTTAGGTTTATCATGTTTATCTTCATTTATAAGGACTGAAGATTAAATAGCTAAGAGTTTATACCATTGCTGATGTTGAGAAGAGAGCAAAATCCTATGGAAAAAAGTGATTTTGATAAGTTTGATAGTTGATTCCCTCTCAGCTGTTAAACAGTGACTGTTTTAAAACTATAAACAGTGTAAACATCCAGTGTTGTTAGAAGTTCATTTCATCACTAATTGGATTCAGATCCCCCAGCCTCTTACTTAAAAATCAACACCTTTCTTACTTCTGTTAAAATTAAGAAGTGAAAAAGTGCAGTCACTGCCTATTATGAAGGTTAGTAGTTCAGGACACTCATGATTAAAATATGATCACTGTAGAGTTTTTCAGGGAAAAGTTATACTTTTCTAAGTTAATAAAAGGCTTGACTATGATGTCAATAGTTAATATAACATATAGAATGGATGGTATATTTTTTTAATAATTTTCTTGTTGAAAAATTTCAGGCCATTTTAAAATTAATTATGCACTAGAATATGTGTTGGAACAAGAATTATAACCCAGACTTTAAAAAGTGTTTAATCATTCGTATTCAGTTTCAAGCCTTATGTATTTCTGTTTATATGTAATCCTATCCTCGGTTCTTCTGACAAATTGAAACCAATGAAAGGATAGACTCTGGCACCATGATAACACAGAAGGCCACTTCACTTGGTCACATTGTTGTGTTGTGATTAACTTTTAAATTTGACTGTCTATTAGGCAGTACTGTCAAAGCATCATTTTGGTTTCAGTCTTCAAATTAAATGATTAATAAATTTTTAAGTTTTTATTCACTGGCATCAGCATGATGATTAGTTCTGTTTGCTTTGAAAATAAAATATTATGGCAGTGAAGAAACACTACTGCCTGCACCTCATTTCTCTTCAGAAATTATGTTGATAAAATTACCTATCAGATTAAAAGAAAAATATTTGACTTCGACATATAAGTCAGATGTTTTTCATTGACATTTAAAACGATATTGAAAAATAATCTTTACTGAAATTTTGCTGTTTTGTATTTTTGTTTTTTTAAGTAGAATTTTACTAGTGAAAAGTTAACATTTTTCCCCTATCAAAAAAATCTTATTTGATATAAAATGTAAAATAAAATAACTATCATAACAGAATATAATAATAAGTGTATGACTTGGGTGAATAACCAGTTTACACTTGTAGCACTGTCACACTTGTCCTCCCATTGTTCATCGATTTGCTCGAGTGGGCACCAGTAACGTCTCCATTGTGAGACTTGTTGTTACTGTTTTGGGCATATCGAATATGGCACGGGGTGCTTGCCAGTCTCTGCCGTGCGGGCGGTGTGCTCTCGGTAGCTTGCCGGGCTCTCCGGGAGGGACGGAGGAATCAAACCTGGTCGGCCACATGCAAGGCAAATGCCCTAACTGCTGTAAATTGCTCTGCCCAATTTACACTTGTGAAAAGAGAAATTAAATATTATTTTTTTGGAATAGATTGCAGCATGTTCAAACAAACACAAAGAAATTGCATTTGTGTTCTGAAAGATAATCAAAATTATTATCATGGATCTCTAATCAGGTGCTTATTGATAACAATTTATTCCTTATATGTATATATTGAAGAATTACTGCTTTTGGTAAGTTCGCATCCAACCTGATGGTGTTGACGTTCATGTGCCTCTTTAATGTTTCCTACATACTTGGACACTAAAAAAAACAAGCATCGAAACAATATTATCATTGTTTCATTGCTATTTTCTGTATTAATAAAATCTCAGAGCTAGTATCAGCTAAATAAAGAATAAGATTTTATGATAATAAATTTTCTCAAATTGGATGATCAGGTTTTCATCAGATCATTTTAGTCAGTGTTATTACTCATTCCTTATTTTCATAAATTCTATAGTTACTTTTACACCTTCTTTTGTCTTTTGATTTTGGGGGTGACATCTAGCAGTGCTCTGGCCTTAATCTAGGTCATGATTGGGGAACTCTGCAACGCCAGTGATTGAACGGGGCAAAAGCAAGTGCTTTGACCCCCCATTATCTCTCTGGCCTGACTTCTGTGACTTTTCCCTTAACCTTAAACACTGTTCTCAATAAGTTGATGCATCGTTTAACTTTTGCTTTCAGTTCTTTTTAAGTAAGTCAGTATATACATTTATTTAAAATTCTTTGCTCAGATTTTATAATTTATCATTTTCTAGAACAAGCATGTCTTCTATAATCAAACCCAAATTGCTGGATTCTCTCCTGTATTTTGTTCCCTTCAGTATTCATCTCCTTCAGGACATGGCTAGACCAATGTTTGATTAGTCCCTAATGCTGACAGAATTGTTCCCGTTAGTATTTTATCATGTTCCCAAGTATCTAAATCCTCTGACAGTGTCTAGTTAATGAAAAACCAATTTTCTGGTATGTTCAGGGAGCTTCGTCCTTCTTGTTTGTGTGGTTTCTGTGATATCCTCCGCAGGGTCGCCTCAGCCTCAGCCTGGACAGGAAGCAGTGACCCTGAGCACCAGGCCAGGAGAATCATCACATGGACTTTGTAACTTTTTTTGTTTCTCTCAGTAGAAAGTAGTCTGACAAAGCAAAGTCACCCTTACTTTGCTTCGTTTTTTTTTCCCTCCATAATGGCAGTGGTTCATTTCTGAATTGCACCTTGCTGAGGAAGCTGATAAACTCTGTCTCCCCAGACACCTGAGCCTTCTGGCTCTCTCCTCAGTGTGTGTGTTCAGAAAGAAAATTCTGATAACGAATGACAGTGAGTGAGTGAGCAAGAAAAGAACCAAAAGAAACAAATTAATTTATTTTTGTAGACTAAGATGAAACTGGATGAAAAACTGTGAGTTCAAGGTTTGGGGGCATTTGGGGGTTGAGAACCACCACCCCAGGCTGGATGAACAAGGAAGGAACAGCCACAGCTGGCTGGGAATCAGTGGCCTTTCACGAGTCTCACTGCATTTGGGTACATAGAAGTCATGAGGGGTGGGGTATACATAGATGGGGCTGAACATTATCATATTTATTGACAGATATAAAGCCCTTCACTTCCTTCAGGAGAAATTCTTCTAGATTAACTCAAGGACAAAAATCTGAGGGTTCAGCACTCTCGATTACTAAGAGATTCGCTCAAGGGCAGGATTCCATCTAAGGGTGTATTGCTTTCTCCTTTTCTTGGCTAGTAATCTATTTATTTCTAGTCATTTTGTGTGAACACAGTAAGAAACGTACTAAGCTTAAAGGTTGGCTCTTCCTGGGGACAGTTTGCTATAGATCCCAGACTCCAGTCCTCAGGCCAGGTTAGCCTTTCCTAACCCCAGCAGGGTCCTTATTCAGTTACCTCTTTTTGGGTCATGACAGAGTTTGTTCCATGACTGTGCTCTTATGGTTTGTTAGGCTTAATTTTTTTAAAAGTGGTTATTTTCTCATTAAGTTGAGTATATGGCAAGTACATTAAAAGGGTTTTACATGAATTAAGTTTTTAATCTTCTTTTGAAAAAATGTAATTTGTAAAATTAAATAATGAAATCCGCAAAACTGAAATAATCACATTTCCATCTGAATCTGCAGGTTTTGAACACCTACAATTCTCAGGAACAGCAGTAAGTTGCCTTAAGAAATCATGACAGATAAATGAAGTGAGATGGGAGTGAAAACGACATTTCCCCTGCACACTTTCCAACTAGGACTCTTAACATGACTTAGGGTGAAAACAAAGGACCAAGAGGAGATACAGTACAGGAGGGAAAGAATTTACTTGAATGTTTTTCAAACAGTCGGCTACCCATCACCTCATTTGTTCCCCAGCACTGCCGGGTGTAGCTCAGAAATACACAACAATTATAATAAACACTCAAAAAAGGGTGTTCCCGCCATTGTTGATTATTAAAGTAAGTGGCTGCCTCTTCCCTCTCTTGTTGATAGATACTGGTTTTGTTGTAGGCATCAATATACCCACCCCTGGTGGCCAACCAGACTTCATGTCGCCCCCTGTTCTTGTCTAGGTATTTTTCAACTTTTGCTCTGAAGAAAGTCTTGGCTAGTGAGACTTAGGAAAAATGAGGGGTTTCTTTTTTCCCTGATTACAGAAAGGCCTAGTTCTTCCCCCACCCCCACCGTGTGTGTGTGTGTGTGTGTGTGTGTGTGTGTGTATGTGTGTGTGTGTGTGTGTTGGGGGGGGACCTCACTTGTTCAGGGCCTAGTTCTCCCCCCTCCCGTGTGTGTGTGTGTGTGTGTGTGTGTGGTGTGTGTGTTGGGTGGGGGGGGTCCTCACTTGTTCAGAAGACTAGTTAATGGGATCTGGATCTGTAGCAACATCTTGCAAATATGGGGTGAAAAATTCAAAGATGTAACATCACCATGTTAAAGGTACCAGAGCCGAGAAATGGAAAGAACTTGTCTTTCAGATTACATCCTTGAGCCCCAGAATCAGAGCCAGCAACTGCCTATCGCAGAACACTTTCAGAATGGCTGTACCAATCGAGGATTCTGTTACTTTCCACCAAAAAAATAAATAAAAACAGGCAGAAAAATTGCAGTTTGGCAGTGCCCAGCCCGGTATACAAGCCTCAGGCCCTTTCCCAGGGGTCAGTCGTTTCCTTCCAAGGTACGGCATTTTCCCTTCTTTTCCTTCTTTACTCTCTTGTCCTTAGTCTTTTTTAGTGGATTTTGCAAACCTTTTGTCTCAGTCTTCTTGTATCTGTTTGCTAGTGTCCCATAAAGCACCTTCTGCTGGATTATGATTTCCCACTTGCTGCTCCTTTAGATTTGGTACATACTTAAAGGGCAGAACTCAGAACTTCTCTCCGTGGTCATTGCTTAAACTAAGGCCTTTAGATAAAGTTGGAGATAGAATGCCTGTAGGGACTGGCTGCAGTGACCGTCTGACAGTGTGAGTCTGCAGACAAAAAATAGAAGTGCCCTTAGCCCTTGCTGTGGAAGTCTGGAAAACATTAAGCCTTACAAGTGATTTTGTAAATACTCTAGGAAATTGGCTTCTCCTGCCATCCCAGCAGCTACTGGAGCCAGTTTGGCTTCAGGTCTTAGAGAAATGATTTGTCATCCGTTCATTTGTTTGTCTTTTTCTGACAAAACTGGAATTCAGTTCTTCAGAGCAAAAGCTCCCTTCTTAAACTGCCAAATCCTAACCAGAAGTAGACTGGGCAGGGCACAAAGCTCCCCTCCCACTCAGTTTCACACAAGAAAAATTCACAGGCACTTTTCCAGGATTACTCCTTGTTTCTTGCTTTTTGATAGTGTATTATTATTTTTCCCTTCTAACAGAAAGGATCTTGGCTATTTTTGAGGGAGAGACAAGGATCCCTTCAATACAGGCAGCCGTTAAACAAATGATGATCACTTCAGGGGAAAATGCAGGGAAACTGCAATACACAAGGTGCCTTTATTAATAGTGAATTGTTGACATCACAATCTGAGGCAGTTACTACTAGTTGTGTTTCAACAGTGAGAATTAGGAGTCAAGAGATTAATATTTTATTCAGCTGACAATACCAGAATTTGAGCCCAACCCCCCACCCCACACGCCCCCAACCCCTAGAAGTAAGTAAGCATGTATTTTCCTCAGGTCAGAGATAGCTAGCTCCTAAGAAGTGATATTTTACTCTTCATGGAAAATGATGATAGAATAAGAAAATTGTGAGTCTAAAATGGAGTTGACATCTGTTTTTAGCTTAGATATAAGAACAGAAATGGCTGTTAGCTTCTCACCTAAAACTGCTGAAAAATCTAATTTTTCAAGCTATGCAGGCTAATAATCCAAAGATAAGGAAAACAGATGAGTCTTATGGTTACCCCAGCTGGTGCCAGAGAAGGATTCCAGCTTGTTATTCAGGGAAAGACAGCCATGACAGACAGAGTC